CATTCAAGTATGTGACATAGCACAGTTGTTTTAATTTTTATTTCTCTTATTCCTAATGAGGGATAGTGCATCTCTCCAGATGTTTATTTGCAGTTCCAGCTTCCACTTTTATGAATTGCTTATGCACATTATTGACTCATTTTCCCACTAGATAATGTTTGTTCTTGATAATATTCAGTTTTTTCCTGTATATTTGGGATATTAAGTCTTAGTTGGTTATGTATACCTCTTTTTTTAACATATTTTTATTGAATTCAGAGAGGAAGGGAAAGGGAGAAAGAAACATCAATGATGAGAGAAACAAAAATTATTGATTGGCTGCCTCCTGCATGCCTCCTACTGGGGATCAAGCCCACAACCTAGGCATGTGCCCTGACCAGGAATCAAACTGTGATCTCCTGATTCATAGGTTGATGCTCAACCACTGAGCCATGCTGGCCGGGGAACGTATACCTCTCTTTTAAAAGTGGGTACAGTGTCTTTTACTAAGCAGAAAACTTAATTTGATGTAGTCATCATTTCTTCCCTTTATTATTTGTAGGGATTTTATATCTTGGTTTAAAAATTTTTCTTACTCTCAAGGTTATAAAGATATCCTTTTATATAATTATCTGTTTAGTATACTCAATTTATTTTTTTCACTTTATATTACATCTTGCAAATCTTTATTTTTTTGCCATTTAATCATTTTTTATTTTTTAATTACAGTTGACATACATTATTATATTAGTTTTGGGGGTACACCCCAGTAATTTGACATTATATAACTTACTATGTGATCATCCCATTAAACCTCACACCCATATGACACCATACATAGTTATTAGAATATTATTGACTATATTCCCCATACTGTACTTTACATCCCATAACTATTCTATAACAACTAATTTGTATTTCTTAATCCCTTCACCTTTTTCACACAACCCCCTGACCCCTCCCATCTGGCAACCATCAAAATGCTCTCTGTATCTACAAGTCTGTTTCTGTTGTGCTTGTTAGTTTATTTTGTTTTTTAGATTCAATTGTTGATAGATATGTATTTATTATTCATATTTTTTTATCTTTTTGTTTCTTCTTTTTAAAGAAGACCCCTTATTTCATAAACTACTGATTTGGTGGTGATGAACTTCTTTAGCTGTTTTTTGTCTGGGAAGCTCTTTATCTGTCCTTCCATTCTAAACTAGAGATCTGGTGCATGAATTCACCAGTGGGGTCCCTCGGTCTGGCCTGCAGGATCGAGCCAAAACAGGCTCTCTGACATCCCCTGAGGGGTCCTAGATTGCGAGAGGGTTCAGGCCAGGCCAAGGGACCACACCAGTGCAGGATCAGGGCCAGGGAGGGATGCAGGAGGTTGGCCAGCCCGGGAGGGACCACAGGAAGGCTCCAGGGAGTGTCCGACCAATTTTGCTTATTCCCGATGGGATGGACCCCAGCAGCAAGCCAACCTATTGGCCAGAGCTTCTGCTCCCTGGTGGTCAGTGCATGTCATAGCGACTGGTTGACCAGTTGACTGTCTGCTCCTTGGTTGTCAGTGCATGTCATAGCAAGCTGTTTAGCAGCCTTAGCATTTGCCGTTCGGTCGATTTACATATTAGGCTTTTATTATATAGGATGGAATCATTGAGATTCTTTTTGCTATTTGGGT